CCAGAGAGAAATTAAGGCACTTGCCTTACAGGTAGTGGTCCTCTGTCTCCTCAGCCTCACCTATAGTGCTGTGAGCACCATCAGGGCTGCTTCTGAGCAGAGACAGGGACGGCCTCTGAGTGCCACTGGGTGTAGACCAAATCCACCCCCCCCCCCAAGCAAAACCACCCAAAGCAGCCACTGCACCATGTCCCCATCCTACCTCTCTTACCCCAATGGAACCATTCTCCCATGCCGGAGACTAGTTTGCTCATTTCTGTGCTTCTTGTAGGAGCAGAGTCATAGAGTGAGAGGCTCACTCTATGACTTCTTTTACTGAGATCTGAGTCTGTGTGTTTTACCCCTGTGGTTGCACTGGTTCATGGTGTGACTTCCCGCAGCTCATTCTCGCCACCGTGGAAGGACATGTGGGTGATGGTGGTTGGGGCCATTGGGAGCAGCGCCCCGGCCTGGTTCATGAGCGTATCTTGTTTCTCATGTGCGCCCACCCAGCCGTGGAAATGCTGCATCATCGGCCATGATACCTTCAGCTCTCGGAAATACCACACATTTCTCACATGCTGTTAGCCATGCTCCCAAAATCATCTTAAAAGAGTTTGGAGAATGTTTTCATCAATACTTAAGCTTTTATTTTGTGGCCACACCTGGTGTTTCTCAGGGAATCACTCCTGGTGGGGCTCAGGGGACCATATATGGTGCTGGGGATCGAATCCAGGTTGGTCTCATGCAAGGCAAGCACCCTCCCCTTTGTCCCATCTCTCCAACCCCTCACACTTAATCTTGTCAGCCATGTTCATGTTTGCCTCTCTGGTGAGTGTCTTTATAAATTTTCATTTTTTTTCTTACTCTCCTATTTTCCCAGATTTGACTGCAATGTGGGTGTCGGTGGGTTCGACCACACCTGGCAGGGCTCAGGAGCTCAGAAGTGATTCCTAGCAGTGTTTGAGGAACCGTATGTAGTGACAAGGAATCAGACTGGGGTCAGTCACATGCAAGGGAAGAGCCTCACCTCCGTGCTATCACTCAAGCCCATTTGTGGAATGCTTCAATATATGCTGGGCACACCAAACTGGCCTCCTGAGGCCTGACTTTCTAGGCTCTCTGCCCTGCCACACACAGCCTCGTGGCACTCAGCCAGCATGCACACACACTGAGGACAGTCATCTTGTTATAACACCCCTGAGACTCTATTACCTGTGGCACGTTACCACACTCTTGGAGCAGAGATGACCTTGGCACCCTGAACAGGAACATGTTGGTATGAAAATCTCCAAACCCACAACCCATGGTGGAGCACAGAAAGCTGGTCAGCCCTGAGGCTCAGCTTTCCCTGGCATCATCCCGTCTTGTCCTTCCGGTTACCAGGACAGTTGGACATTGGGTCATAACACCACCCCTTAGGTAGGGCCCTGGTGAGGATCCAATGAGTGACTCTGATTAAAGTGATGAGCCCTTGGGCTAGAGCAATAGCACAGCGGGTAGGGCGTTTGCCTTGCACGTGGCCAACCCAGGTTCATTTCCCAGCATCCCTATGGTCCCCCGAGCACCGCCAGGAGGAATTCCTGAATGCAGAGCCAGAAGTAACCCCTGAGCATTGCCGGGTGTGACCCAAAAACCAAAAAACAAATAAAAATAAAGTGCTGAGCCCAGCTTGGCACACAGTGAGGGGGAGGGTAAGTGGCAGCCCTGCAGGGTTGGCACAGCTAGGGGGACCATGCCCACCACCAGCTGTGGGCTTCGTGGCATTGGGCTGCAGGGGAAAGAGCAGAAAGGGAACCACATGAGGGCATATGCCTTTCATTTGTAGGGAACTGTCACGTCCAGCAGAGATGAGACCAGGGTCCCCGATACTGTCTCTTGTAGCAGCGGGGTGATCCTTGACTATCAGCTTCCTGGCAATGCATCCTTAGAAGGCATAGACCCGAAAGACGCATGTTCCCAGGAAACTCCCAGTACACTCACAGTGGAGCTTGAATCTGGCCCAGAATGGGACCCATCCCAACCTTCTCAGAACAAAAGCAACATGAGCCCTGCTAACATTGATGGAGGAAGCCCTCCGGCCCCTTCCTCCTAGCAGAGGACCACATGCTGTTCACACTTCAATTTGGTTCAGGAAGGAGTCACCCACAGAGGCCAGGAAGCCAGGGGTGGGGGGTGACTCAGAGTCCCCAGTGCTGCCATGGGAGCAAAGAGAGCACCTTCACCACAAAGCAGCCCCTGGCTTCCTGAAAGCCTGACCTTCAAAAGAAACCTGTCCAAAATATGGGGGAGGCAAGGGGCCAGGAATTAGGCAGGGATGAACAAGACTATTTTGGACTACTTTGGACAAACTGGCAGGCTACCGAATGTAACCTGCCCACACGGCAGAGTCTGGCAAACTCCCAGTGGCATACCCAATATGCCAAATACCAGTAACAATGATGGGTCTCATTCTCCTAACTCTGAAAGAGCCTTGAATATGGCACTTTTTTAAAAATCTCAGGGCTAGGACGAAGGAGACGTTCCTGGGGCCTGCTCGAGGCAATCGACGAATAACAGGATGGTCGTGATCGTGATCATGAACAAGACTATGGCCATGTTTATTACTATTGAAATTGGGTAACGGACATAAAGTTGGTCATTATTCTGCATGAAATTTTGCCATACAAAAAGTGTTTATTGGAGCCAGAGAGATAGTATAGTGGGTAGGGTGCTGCTGGCCTTGCATGCTGGCCACCTTGGTCCAATCCCTGGCTTCCCATATGGTCCTTGGAGCATCACCAGGAGTGATTCCCGAGTACAGAGCCAGGGGTAATCCTGGAACACCGCCAGGTGTGCCCTTCTTCCCCAAACAATTGTGCTTCTCGGGCTGGAGACCTCGCTGAACAGGCTGATGGAGTAGCAGCTGAGTATCCCCAGGTGAGGACTCCCCAAAATAGTATCTCTTATGGGCCAGAGTGATAGTCAGCAGGTAAGGCGCTTGCCTGGCATGCAACTGACCCGAGTTTGATCCCCATATCCCATATGGTCCCCAGATACTACCAGGAGTGATCCGTGAATGTAAAGCCAGAAGGAACCCCTGAGCATCACTGGGTGTGAGCCCAAAACAAACAAATAAAGAGGTGTTTCTTAAAAAAAACAAACAAACAGATACCTAAGGCCTGGCAGGGTAAAGGTCACCATTCTGCCTTTTCACTAACTAGCACTGTATCACTGTCCTCCCATTGTTCATCGATTTGCTCCAGCGGGCACCAGTAACATCTCTGTTGTTACTGTTGTTGGCATATCAAATACGCCACAGGGAGCTTGCCAGGCTCTGCTGTGTGGGCGGGATACTCCCAGTAGCTTGCTGGACTCTCCAAGAGCGACTGTGTGCAAGGCAAATGCCCTACCCACTGTGCTATTGCTCCAGGCTAACTAACTATCCCCCTAAATCAGATCAAATCCGACCACATCTAGCAAGGGGGCAGGGGTGGGGGGGGGTGGTATTCATCTGGCTCTGGCAGGTTCTCAAGGGGACCTGCAGGGAATTCCCTGGGGCAGAAGCAGCAGAGACAGAGGGTGGGGGAAAGCTTCACATGTAGGTCCCAAGGCTCCTGGGGAGTTTGTCTCAGGTGCTTCCAATGGCACTGTGCCGTCTGGGCCCCACCCTCAGCCTTGCCGGTGCCATACCAGTACTCAGGGGCTGTTTCTGCCTCTGTGCTCAGGAGTGCCCCCTAGTGGTGCTTGGGGATGGATGCAGACTTGTCACGTGAAGGCCAAGGCTTCGGCTTCCCCCAGCCCAGCCTTTTCTCCGAGGAGTGTCTCTCCCAGGTCTGCAAGCATAGACGACGGGGTGAGGGGTGAGGGTAGCGGTCCTCCCTCCCTTTGTCACTTTGGTCCTGCTGGAGGTGCAGGGGGCAGCCACCTGGTCCTCTTCCTCCACAGCCCCTCAAGCTGAAATTCGCTCACCCTCACTCCCGAGCCCTGATACATCCCCGGCACAGGCCTCCAGGCCCTGGCTAGTCCCTAGCCCTCACTGAACTGATATGTCAGAAACCTCAGCAGCGGCTGGGCTCTTGCTGGTTCAGGCCAAGTCAGGGCTTCCCGGTAGCACGATGCAAAAAGTGCCAGTCACATGCACCTCCCAGCGGGCACCTCCGACAGCGTGACCAGAGCCTTCTGGCGGCCGGACCTTGCTTTCTTCAGCTTGTTGGGTTTCTTGGTTCCCCAAAACTCTTCCGGGAGAGTAACAAATTCAGACTAGTACCTGGGAAGAAGAGGGAGCCAGAGGGTGGCTGGAGGGAAGGCGATGGGGAAGGTGCAGGTAGCTAGGAGAGGGCTTCAGGGCTCGGCTCACAGCGAGGGCAGATGGGGTCAGAGGCAGGGGTCACTAGATCACAGATATCTCCATGGGTCGTGCAAAGAAAGTCTGAGGCAGGGCCAGAGGGATAGTGCCTGGGTTAAAGGCACTTACTTCCATGCAGCTGACCCCAGTTTGATCCAGGATACCACGTATGATCCTCTGAGTTCCAGAAGGAGGAACCCTCTGCTTGGATGGGTTTTTCCCCAACACCCCACCCTTAGCCCCCCAAGAAATATAGAAGGGGCTGGAGCGATAGCACAGCAGGTAGGGTATTTGCCTTGCACGTGGCCGACCCAGGTTCGATTCGCAGCATCCCATATGGTCCCCAGAGCACTGCCAGGAGTAACCCCTGTGCATCGCCGGGTGTGACCCAAAAAGCCAAAAAAAAAAAAGTAAATCTGTAACATCCAAAGCAAGGAAGACACTTAGCTGGAGGTCAGTGCAGGGCAGCTGGGGCAGCACCTGACTCTGGAGGCCTCCCTTGGCGGAGCCCAGAAACAGAAACGATTCCCCAGGCCACACCGGCTACCCCACCATCCCCCATCACCTACAGAACCCAGGAGGCTTGAACCCCAGGCCCCGCCCCTGTACTCCCACCCTGGCGGGCTCCCCCACACTCCCCACCAGCATCAGTGCACGCACGGTGGGCCCGGAGTCAATCAACCAGCAGAAACTTCAACTCGTTTAATCTGTACACCTCTAGGGGGCGCCCGTCTACATAGGGTGCATCCCCAGCACACGGGTGCGACGCAGGCACGGCGGTGAAGGCGGTGTGGAGAGCAGAGTCAGTGAGAGACGGAGCGGGAGGAGGCACGGACCACCCCGACCCCCACAGCGCTGCCCCTGCCCCCACTTGGGAAAGGGCAGAGGCCGGAGAAGCCCTTTGCAAGCATCAACTCTGAGCCGGGCGCTTGACCAAGCAGCTATGGGCTTCGACGTCCCTGAAGGGCAGACCACGACGGCCAGTGTGAGGACGTCAGGCCAGTGACCGCCAACGGCCTGCACGGCCTCACACCCCTCCCCCCCCACCAAGCTTTCCTCTGCACGGGACCCCTCCCCACCCCAGGGCACTGTGAGAGAAGAAAAGCAGGTGAAGAGGTGGGGGCGGGGCTGGGGAGGGGGTCCGGGCTTGGGGGGCACTGTGTCCATCCTGGAGATGGACACCCCAGGTAAACTGCCCAGCCGAGGTTTGATGGAGGTCCGGTGGGGGGCAGTCAGCCTCAGGGGGGTTCCCTGCTGCAGGTGTGGGGACTCGCTGTCAGTCCCCGGAACTGGGCAAACCGAATAAGGCCTGGCATATGCGCCAGCACGGAGGGCAGTGAGGGTCAGCTCGGGGACGCAGGGCACCACGGAGGGCATCGGCTGGGACCGGAAGGCTGCCTCCTGGTGCAACTGCCCCCCGCCGGCCTCCCCCTGGTGCAGATGCCCCCTCCCACCACCACTGTAGGCACACAGGGAGACCCCTTGAGGCCTGCACACCTGGCTCCCCTCCGCCCGGTCTGCCGCGTGCAAGGCGGAAGGCTGGAGCCGGTGGGCAGCGGGTGGCCCGGGGGTCACTGCAGCAGGTGCCGCCGGTGCAGCACGCCCACCAGGAGCGCGACCAGGAGACCCCCGGCCGCAGCCATCACGAGCAACGGGGCCCAGGAGCCCGGGGGTTTGGGAGGCTTCTCGGGAAGCTCTTCCATCTGCAGCGTCCCGGCGGCACTGCGCCCTGGGTTGCTGGCCAGGAGGTCGACACTGGGGTTCTCGGCCACGTGCACCCTGATGGAGCTTGCCGGGTACTCGTTCTCCTCCGGACTGTGGCGCCCGATCCCCACGGTGCCCGAGCAGTCACTGCGGCTGATGGCCAGGTCCTCGGAGCAGCCCGAGAACGTGCTGTCGATGTGCGAGACCAGCATCCCCGGCTTGCTCAGCTCCTCCTCGGGGTTCCAGTGGGCACCGGTGCGGGCCGGGGGCACCTGGGAAAGGGAGGAGGGTCTGGGAGGGACAGTGCATGCCCAGCCCCCAGTTCCCCGCCCTCAGAACTGGGACACCCCCTCCTCAGGGTCAGCGCGCGGGGGTGGGGGGTGGGAGGGGGACAACCGGCGAACGTGGTCTTCCCTCACTGCCTCACTGAGTGCATCCCCAGTTTCCGGGCCCCTGGGGTGCCATGCGGCCCCCTCCAGCACCAACACTCTGCCTGGGTCTGAGGGCCACAGAGCAGCCTACCAGTATCCCCCCTTCCCCACCCCACCCCGCAGACAGGACTCCCACCTACCCACAGTAGGAGGATGAGAGGTGCCCAGGGGCTGGGACTGGGCACACCACGCTGGGCAGGCTGGAACGGCTGTCTGGAAAGTCCACGCCTGCCAGGCATCCTGACCGGCACATGGGCACGACCCCACGAAGCCCCAAATGGGCTCTGCCCCTAACCGCGCCCTCATCTGCCAGCAGAATTTGCTGAGCTTCCCAGGGTGCCAGGGGGACTCACCTGAGCGGGGGGCCGGCCTCCCCCCACACCCGGTCCTGCCTGGGCCTCCAGACCAAGGGGCTGGTTAGGACACCAGAGGAAAGCGGGGCAGGCTGTCCCTGTCCCCGCCAGACAGCACCGGGTAAGAGGCGACCACTCACCTGGGCTCCTCTGTTGCCACCTGTGCGGCTGGGCACCGAGACAGCAGGCCCCCTACTGGGCACAGTGTTGGTGGGCATCCTGTGGTCAGGTACCGAGCCCGTGGGCGCTTTGGGTGCTCCTGCACCCACACGAGCTGAGTTGACAGGCAGCTTGGATGGTGTTGGGCCAGTGGGCATCATGGTGGGCACGGTGCCCAGGGGCTTTGGGTTGATGGGCACCTTGGAAGGCACTGGACTGGTGGGCAGGGAGTTGGAGGGCAACCCTATGCCCCTGGACCAAATGGTCGACTCAGCCTGATCCCCAGGAACCCCCGTGAGGGTCACGCCTGGAGACGGAGCAGGGAGACCTGTGCCGGACCCTGGGGGTGCAGGCAAGCGGCTGGCCCTGGAGGTAGATCGGCTCAGGGGCTGGAAGGACACGGTAGGAGACACCGGTCCCCGGAGAGGTGTGGGGTTACCTCCTGCAAAATGAAAGGGGATGCAAACTCGTAAGACCCAAACCCACGGGCTGGAGCCTGGACAGGGCTAGGATGCTGGCCTTGCACGCAGGCTCAATCCTCGCCCCCCACAGGGTCCCCTGAACACTGCCGGGGATGCTAAATCACCCAGAGATAGGCGGGCTGGAGAAGGAGGTCTCTCAACCCAGACCCTCTCTCATTTGCTTTATGGGGGGCCACACAGCAGTGCTTGGGGGTCAATTCTGGAGATGCCTTGGGGCTGGAGTGATAGCACAGCGGGTAGGACATTTGCCTTGCACACAGCTGACCCGGGTTCGATTTGCAGCATCCCATATGGTCCCCCAAGCACTGCCAGGAGTAATTCCTGAGGGCATGAGCTAGGAGTAACCCCTGTGCAATGCCAGGTGTGACCCAAAAGAGAAAAAAAAATTCTGGAGATGCCAGGTTTTGAACCTGGGCCTCCAGCCTATCAAGCATATCCCCCAACCCCTGAGCCCTCCCGGCTGGCCATGGGGTGACTCTCTTGATTCCTCCCCTTGCTTCCTACCCAAGGAAGCCTGAGGGTCAAGCCCGCGAGGATGTCATCCAGGCCCCGGACCTGAGCTCACACCTACCGGCTGAGTGTGCGCTGCCCGGTTGTTTGTCCTGTTCTTGCGACTGCCCCCTGGTGGTGGGAGGCTGGCGGGCCGCCATGGCAGCAGGAGGCTCCTGGTCACCTGTCCCTGGCTGGTCAGTGCCAGAGCTGTGTGGCTGTGTGGCTGTCTTTGAACTCTGCGACAGAGAAGCGGGAGCCCGTCACTTCTCCAGGAGCTGGCCAGGGGCAGCAGACAGGTTCCGCCCACAAGTGGACTCAGGACCCAACGTGTCCCTTTCTTTGGCCTATGGGCATTGCCTGGGCTTTGTCTCCAGTGTCCCTGCCCTGGAGAAAGATCCCCATGGCCCCGGAAGAGCCACGCACCCCCACCCCGCCAGGCAGTGTGTCCCCTTGTCCACTCAGCATATGGCCCAGCACCGGTCACCTCCCCACACACTGCCTGTGGCAAGGGCGGCAGCTCCCCGCGGTGGAGGCCTGAGGCTCAGGTCCCAATGAGACCACAGGGACGTACCTGTCCCAGGGACTGCGGGGTCTGGGTGTCCTGGACAGGGGCCGAGTAACTCGCCTCCTCTTCCCGGAAGCCGTTGGGGAGCCCTCCACAGGCCCCAGCAGGTGAGGAGGGTTCCTGGGTATCTGGAGGACAAAGGCCAGTGAGTCAAGCAGGGGTCGGGGACTGTGGTTCGCACCGCCCACCCCTCGCCATGGGAGTTCTTGTGGAGGCGGGTCCGAGAGAGAGCTCAGAGAGTGGGAAGTGCACCCCACACACACCTGACTGCTCAGACATTTCTGCCTCTCTGTCCCCTGGCATCCCTAGCCCTGAGGCTTCCCCTCCTTCCTAAGGGCACTGCCACCACCGGCTGACCTCCGACCTATGCTGCCTCCACAGCCCACCTCCCACTGCAGCCTCTTAGGCAAGGGTTCCTGTTAATGTCCCCACATGGGGAACTGTTCATGGAAGGAAGGGGAGGGGATGGGAGGGTCAAGAAAGAACAGGAAGAGGCTGGATGGAGCGATAGTACAGCAGGTAGGGCATTTGCCTTACACACGGCCAACCCGGGGTTCGATTCCCAGCCTCCCATATGGTCCCCCGGGCACTGCCAGGGGTAATTCCTGAGTGCAGAGCCAGGAGTAACCCCTGAGCATTGCTGGATGTGACCAAAAAAGCAAAGGAAGGGGAGAGGAGGGGAAGTGGGGGGGGGGGAGGAGAAGGATGGGACTAGAAAGGGAAGGGAGGCGAGGGGAATGGAGAGGAGGGACAGAACAAGGAGGGGAGGGCAGGGGAGGGGAAGAACCCGAAAAGGAGGGAATAGGAAGGAAGGAAGGAAGGAAGGAAGGAAGGAAGGAAGGAGGAAGGAAAGAAGAAGAGAAGAGAGGGAGGGAGAGATCGAGGGAGCGAGGGGGGAGGGAGAAAGTGGCGAGAGCAGGGAGGTAAACTGAGGCCACCCTAAGACTCTAAGACTAAATCTGAGCAGGGTGTTGGATCATTTCTGGTCTGGACTATGACCAGGGCTGGCTCTATCTTCCTGTCTCTGTCTCTACACCCGGACCTCTGTGGACCAGCAGGGAGCACTGAGAGCTGCTAAGGAGTGACTGAGCTCTGTGTGTGTGTGTGTGTGTATGTGTGTATGTGCATATGTGTATGTGCACGCACACACGTGTGTGTATGTGCATGAGTGTGAGTGTATGTGTGTGTGCGCACACGCATGTGTATGTATGTGCATATGTGTGCACGTGTGTGTGTGTGTGTGTTGCAGGGAAGTAACAGGGGAGACTAGAAGGTTCTAGGAGAAACCAGGGAGAGGAGAAGAGATGAAGAAAACAGAAGGGAGCCCAAGAGACAAGAGTGGGCAGGAAAGAGAGGAGGAGGAGGAGTGAGCTGAGAGAGGACGGTGCCCAGACCGAGGAGTCCAGGGGGAGGGCGGACAAGGGGCAGTGTTACAGCCACCAACATTCACGGAGGCCCCGAGAGATGCTCAACAGACTGGAGCACAGGCTTTGCATGCGGGAGGCCTGGGCCACCCCAGCTCCGCTGCTCCCCTGAGCACAAAGCAGTTGCCAGCCCAATATCCACCCATTCCTCAGAGGAGAGGACCTAGGCTCAGGGAGATGAAAGGACACAGTTACCAGGTGGCTAAACTGAGACTTCAGAAAAGCAGAGGAGGGGGAGCGGGACAGGGCAGCGGGGGCCAGGAAGCCAGGCGGGCTGGAGGCTCACTGGGCTGTTGGAAGCTCTGGTAGACGCGGGCCACGTCCTCTGCCAGCGAGATGTGCTCACACTCCCTCAGCGCCTGGATTAAGGACTCCACCCAGCCTTTCCGCCGACGGAGACTGTCGAAGAGTTTCCAGAGCGAGTCGGCGTTTCCCCAGCGATCAAGCTCGGCGCGCAGTCGGTCCTGGAAGACAGAGGCACCTGCTCTGCTCTGGCTCCATCTAGGCGGAGGGCAGGCGCCGCTGGAGAACCAGCGCGAGGAAGGCAGAGAGGGAGGCAGCCTGGGAAAGCAGGTGGGGGCACAGGATGGGGCTGGGGGCTCCCAAGGTTAAAGGCAGCGGCTACCTGGGGCCAGGGAGAGGGCGCACAGGAGAGGGGCACGGGGCGGGGGCGCGAGGCGGGGCCGCGGGGGGCGGGCACTCGGGGGAGCCGCCTGGGGCAGGTGCGCCGGGCCAGGGCACAGGCTTTTGCATGCTGCAGTCCCAGGTCCCATCCCTGGGAGTTCTTCCTAGAGCCAGTCCAGAGCACCGAGCCGGGAGCTGTTCCCCACGGGCTGCGGCTCCAAAGCACAAACTTTAAATCAGACAAGTCATAGTGAAGGTGGATAGGAGGGCACGGGTCCCCGAAGCGCCCCCCGCCCCCAACGCCGTTCTCAGCTCAGGGCTTTGTGTGAACGGTCCCGTTTAACGCTATAATCGCCCCTGCTCTAAAGAGAACATCAGACAGGGCTGGAGAGATGGTGTAGCGGGGAGGGTGCTGCCTTGCATGCAGCTAACCTAGTTCGATCCCCGCTGCTCAGGCGTGATCCCTGAGCACAGAGACAGGAGTAAGTCCTGAGCACAGCTGGGAGCATCAAGAGAGAGAGAGAGAGAGAGATCCCACTACTGTACCTGAGCATCGTGGTGAATCACTCCTGGCGGTGCTCAGGGAACCATTAAAAAAAAAAAAAAACTGGGCAGGGCCAATGTGTAAAAAAGTGAAGAAAAGGGGCTGGAGAGATAGCACAGCGGGTAGGGCATTTGCCTTGCACGCGGCCTACCCGGGTTCGATTCCCAGCATCCCATATGGTCCCCTGAGAACCGCCAGGAGTAACTCCTGAGTGCAGAGCCAGGAGTAACCCCTGTGCATCGCCAGGTGTGACTCAAAAAGAAAAAAAAAAGTGAAGTAAAAGAGGCCCACCAGCCCCCTAAATACCTGGCAGCCAGCGCCCTGTTTTGAAGCACTACACAAACGTGACACAAGGGGGCGTGCGGGGACGCTGAGAAGGCTGCAGGGACCCGCCCTCATTCCCCAAGTTAGAAAAGTTCTGCGGGAAACCTGCAAGACCGCTCGGGAAAAAGAGAGGCGGGAGGAGGGGGGTGGGGGTGGGGTGAAGGGCGGGCCAGGGTGCGGAAAGCCGGGACGCGCGCCCGAGGCTCACCTGGTCACTGATCGTAAGGCAGCCCAGGTAAGGCAGTATCTCCCGAGCATGAATGTGGCGGAAATTTCTGTAATTGTGGCGGATATATTCGTGAGTCTTTTCCTCGGCAAATGTCATCACTGTCCAGAGTCGGAGGTGTCAGGCAGCCGTGGCCCATGCAGGGTAGGTGGACTGCGAGGCGAAAAAAAAAGACCGTGAGCAAACGCATTGCGCAAGGCCGCAAGTGCTGATGCAAGTTAGACAAAAGACTCAGCTCTTCAGAATTCCGGTTGTTTCCTTTGAGTCTGACTTTTAAGTATTTCTTCTTCTTTATTTTATTTCTGTTGAGTACCAGAGGCCCTCAAGATATGTGATCAGGAATGAACTGATAAGGGCAAGAGAAATAATACAGGGATTAAGACTCTTGCCTTGCATGTGGTCAACCCAGGTTCAAGCCTGGCACCACATAAGGCCCCCTAAGCACCTACTGGAGTGATCCCCGAGCACAGAGCCAGAACTCAACCCTGAGCACTGTCAAGTGTGACCAAACCCCTCCCCAAAAGCACAGTAGCACAGTAGCACGGTGCTCCCGTTGTTCATCGATTTGCTCGAGCGGGCCCAGTAACTTCTCCATTTTGAGACTTGTTGTTACTGTGTTTGGCATATTGAATACGTCACGGGGAGCTTGCCAGGCTTTGCCGTGTGGGTGAGATACTCTCGATAGCTTGCTGGGCTCCCGGAGAGGGGCGGAGGAATCGAACCCAGCTTTAAAAAAAAGAAAAAACAAACAAAACCTTTGATGGATGGACTGACTGCAGTGACAGCACATGCTTTGCTATCTTTCCATAGGGAGCACACGCTTTGCACAGAGGCTGGGTTCGGGCTCCAGCAAGTCTGAACCCCCCAGGTGCCACTGGGAACGACCCCCAAGCACTGAGCTAGGAGAAGCCCTGAGCATGGCCCTGTGTGGCCCCACACTTCCCCCTCCACAGAAAATAAGCCCTCCTTTGGGGGATACTAAGGCAAAAGAAAAGAAGTTCAACTTGATAAAAGCAACAGGATCTTCCAAGTTCACAGTGGGAGAAAACGAAATGCACTGAGTTAAGGGAGACAATGCTAGTTAGTGCAAGAGCAAAGACCTGAGGTCTTCAACTCCAGGAACAGGTCCTTTAAGAGCAAAAGTGCTCCCCACTCCACCCCCAACCCCGCTGGTGCAAAAGGGATGCAGGCATGTTCCTAGGTAGGAGGCTCCCTGTGGGCCCAGGCAACTTGCCAGCATTCTCTAGGTCTGGCATCTGTCTTAAAATGGCTCAGAGAGCTTCTTTTACAATACAGCAATTTGGCCTTAGAAGCGTACCTTTTTCCAGTACTCCTACTTTTTTTTTTTTTAAAAAGAAGCGTACCTTTTTCTCCTTTAAAAAAAAATACGAGAGCTGGAGCGATAGCACAGGGGGTAGGGTGTTTGCCTTGCATGCAGCCAACCCGGGTTCGACTTCCAGCATCCCATATGGTCCCCCAAGCACCGCCAGGAGTGATTCCTGAGTGCAGAGCCAGGAGTAACCCCTGAGCATCGCCGGATGTGACCCCAAAAGAAAATAAATAAACAAATAAATAAATAAAAATGATATTGGGGGGGCAGAGCAATATTACAATGGGCAGGGCATTTGTCTTAAAGGTAGCCAACCCAGGTTCAACCCTCAGCAGCTTATAGGGTTCCCTAGGCACAGCCAGGAGTAATTTTTGAGTGCAGAACCAGAACTAACTCCTGAGTATCATCGGATGTGGCCCAACACCCTCGCTCCCAAAAAAAGAGTTTGGGTTTTCTGGGGCTTTTTTGCAAAACTGAGAATCAAACATCAAACCCAGGACCTCTCACGGACAGGATAAGTATTCTACTGCTGAGTCACACCTGTCTCAGAAGCTTGACATTATTTGGGGTTTTGAGACCACACCTGGGGATGCTCTGGGACGATTCCTGGCTCAGTGTTTGGGGGATCACTCCAATAGGAGCTTAGGGAGCCACACAGTGCTGAGGATCAAACCTGGATCTCCTGCAAGCATATTATGTGCTCCTGTCACTTGAAATTTTAAAGTAAGTCCGGTCCAATGACAACAGGCTTCTGTGACCCTCCCCAGGGAGTACACGGAAAGCTGTGTCTGTGTACTTGTTTAACTCTCTCATGGGGAGAGTTAGAGGAGATGTAATATCTCTGTTATCACCCAGTTTATATTCTTCTGATACTCTAATGGGGTGGGACAAATAACCACTCAGAACCAGATACAGAACCAAGAATTCTGAATTGTAATGGAAGTTACAAAGCTGGGCTGGGGAGACAGCACTGAGAGATGAAGTACGTCCTTTAATCCTTGGCACCACCTGGTCCCCTGAGCACAGAGTCAGGAGTAGTCCCTGAGTACTGCTAGGTACAGCCCAAGCCACCCCCTCCATAAAACAAATAAACATAGACAAGCACCCCCTCATTTACTCCTGGTGGGGATGTTCACTGGTCCAGCCCTTTTGGAAAACAATATGAACACACCTCAAAAAAAAAATAACCCAACTAGGAATTAAGCTCCCACATCACCCAGAAATTTTACTTCTTTGTATCTACCTCCACGACCCCAAAAGTCTATTCAGAAAAAAAAAAAAACATTTGTATTCCTATGTTCACTGCAGCACTGTTTACAATAGCCAAAATATGGAGCAACCCAAGTGACCAAGAACAGATGATTAGATGTCAAAAATATGGCACATTGATCACTTGATCACTTGACTTCCCGTTAATCGTCAATTTGCTTGAGCAGGCACCAGTAACGTCTCCATTTGTCCCTGTCACGTGCTAATGTAGCCCAATGGCGTCTGTTCGCTCTAGGAACACGAAGAGCCTCAAACTGATTGTTCAAGATCTTGATGAAGAAGATCTATGTGTACCTAGGTCGAGAAGGTAACATGACAAATGACCTGGCACCCGAGCTGCGCAGGAGGAAGAGAGCGGCTTGGAACGCCTTCAAGAGCGTCGAAGAAATAGCTAAGAGGACGAAGAACCTCCGGCTCCAGGCACATCTCTTTGATTCCACTGTTCTTCCTGCATTAACATACGCCTCAGAGACCTGGGCCCTACGAAAACAGGATGAGAACACTATTTGGGTCTCCCAAAGAGGAATTGAAAGAGCTATGCTTGGAATATCATGTTTCACTCAAACGAGAGAAAGAATCCGGAGTTCCAACCTCCGTCGACGATCAAGAATCAGGGACGCTGTCTCGTTTGCCAAGGTGTCAAAAATCAGATCGGCTGGTCACATAATGATATTTAAAGACGGCTGCTGGACTAGAGCCATTACTGACTGGATTCCACGGGATGTCAAAAGACCGAGTGCCCCTCACCTACCAGATGGTCAGACTTCTTCATCAAGATCATGAATGATCATGGCACATTAGGGTTGGCAAAATTATAGAGCAGGTGGGGTACTTGCTTTGCATACAGCTAACCCAGGTTTAATCCCCAGCACCACACATGGTCCTCCAGCCCTGCCAGGAGTGATCATTGAGCACAGCCAGGTATGGCCCAAAGACAAAAGCAAAAACCCTTCTGTATATGATTGTTTTCATTTTTCTTGTAACCCATTGTAAGATGCAACAGACTTTTATATATTCATTTTGTAGCCTGCCACAAATGCTATTGAGCGTATTGATTTGTAGTCATTGATTGTGTGTGTCGGGGACTGGACCCAGGGCCCCCTCATGTGAGGCCAGTGCTCTGCCACAAGTCCTTCCTGCCACAGCACCCAAGGACAGGGGATCCTTCTGCATCCCAACCTCACCCTTCCAGGCTCAATTCTGGGGGTTCAGCCCCAAACAAGGCAAGACCCTATTTTTGTTGTTGTTGTTGTTGTTATTGTTTGGGTTTGGGGGTCGCACCCTCGTGGCACTCAGGGCCTACTCCTGGCTCTGTGCTCAGGGATCACTCCTGGTTGGGCTTGGGGGGCCATATAGGGTGCTGAGGATCAAACTGGAGTCAGATGCGCTGTAAGGAGCTTGCCTTACGCCCTGTACTATGTCTCCAGCGGGAAAACCCCTGTTTGTACAATTTATTGAGGGGCCGCTGCAGGTCCTGAGGGGCCTCATGCCATTCCTCTCCACTGTCCCTAACAGCAGATATCCAAGTGCACCATAGACAGCAGCCCCCACAGGGTCTGAACCCAAAATTGATTTGCAACTCCGAGGTCTCCCCGCAGGGCCCACTGAAGTCATGCACCGAAGTGAGCATGACTCACATCCTGGAGAGGTCCGGGCTGAGGGAGGTAGTAGGTGAGCCGGCCAGGGAGGCAGTCAGGTTCAGTCGCTGGCGTGCGGGCAAGGTGGCTGCAATCCTTTGAGCAGGGCTGAGGACGCACTAAGCCTGCCCCGGCGCTGCCACGGGCTCTAGGGCAAAGTAGCGCCCCCTCCCCACCCCGCCCCGGATTGTTTCTGAGGCTTCCCAGCATCATCCCAGCGTAGACCATCATTTATCCTTCCTTCTCCCCTCCCCCAGGCTCTCCTGGCACCTCCTTCCCATCTCAGACATTGGGCAGCAGAGTGTTCCGTGCCTGGCGCGCAGTTTCCGACGCGACTGCCCCCGAGGCGGCGTCGGTTCCAGAAAGCAATCGGCACCTGCGCGGCGGGGCAAGGCCTCACCCGCGGCCGTGGCTCGGGTTCCTGCACTGCTAGATCCGGCGGAGGGGGAGCAGGTGTCACCACCGACCCCGGGAGGACGGCAGCTCCCGACCCCTCTGCAACAAGTGGCGAGCCGCGAGCTAAGCCTGCCTTGGGGGTCACCCTGGGCCTGCAGGTGGCGAGGTCCGCGCCCCGTCTCTTTCCCGCCAGTCTCCGCGCCCCCCCACCACCACCCCACACACACACGCGCGCGCGAGGACACGCCCTACAACCAACCCCTCCAAGCCCAGAACTCGGGCGGCTGGACCCAGAGGGAGGCGCCCTCGGGGTTCCGAACTCCGTGCACCGCGTTCCCCTCAGAGGGCCCCGGCGCGCCTCAGCCCCCGTGCGCCCCGACGAATCTGAGCCCCACCTGGCTCCAGCCTGCAGAGTTCACCTGGCGGAACGCGTCCTGGCGCCCCTGAGCCAAGAAGGCCGAGCGCGGGCAGAGGGGCTCTTACCTCCAGTGGAAACGACCCCACGACCTGCTGACAGCAAGCTGCGCTCAGAGCGGCTGGGAGGGGCGGGCGGAACCGAGGGGCGGGGCAGCGGGGCCATTGGCGGGACCTTGGGGGCGGATCGCGCGGCCATTGGCAGACTCTCTGGGGAGGGTCGTGCTCCCATTGGCCTTGGCATCGGGGGCGGGCCCTGCGGCCTGGAGGGGCGGGGCCGGCCTTGGTGCCGGGATGGTGCCCGGCTCGCTGGGCTGGTGCTCTGGACGCCCCAGCGGTTTTTGACACTATCGCAGAAACGCAGATGATTTTCTGCCCTTGTTCGCTTCGATCAACTGCCAGGGGAATTCCAGGGCCGGACTATAGACCGAGGGGACGGCCGACCTCCCTTCGAGTCTGTGGCTCACGGTCCCGCCCGCCTGGGCTTCCAAGTCGAAGTAATTTGAGGACTGAGGATATTTATCCTTTGCTCCAGGACTCCAGAGCCTGACACCTATTAAAGGCAGGGTGACTTGCCAAATCCCCAGGGGGTAAAGAGTCCCTCGCCAAGTCACGCTAGTGATGGATCTGAAGAAGCAGAATAGAGGTGGAGGAGGGAGGAGGAGGCGAGGGGGAGGAAGACCTGGTGAATGGGGCCAGGCAGGGGTGCGCAAGTTGACTTGAGGGGTACGCTGAGTGTGGGCCTCGCTTGCTGCGTGGGACAGGTGGTCTCAGTCCACTAACATGCGTGGGTACCCGCTTACAGAGCTTGCCGACCTTCTCCCCCTGGTGGGGTAGAGGTCCACAAGGCTGGTGTTCAAAGTCTTACCCCTAGGACACAAGAAATATATGAAATAAACACTGGTGAAGAGATAGGTGATGGAACATTGCATGACAGGAAAACAGCATTGTAACTGTGTATCTCACGGTGAATCAATAAAAGAAATTAAAAAAAAAACTTTTTTAAAGAAGAAAAAACAGATCCTGGGGCTGGAGCGATAGCACAGTGGGTAGGGCATTTGCCTTGCATGCGGCTGACCTGGGTTCAATTCCCAGCATCCCATATGGTCCCCTGAGCACTGCCAGGAGTAATTCCTGAGTGTAGAGCCAGGAGTGAACCCTGTGTGTCACCAGGTGTGACCCAAAAAGAAAAAAATAAAGAGAGTTAAATAAGTGCTAACCCTATTCCCTGAAACTGCTCCTTGGTATGTGTCCAGCTAGACGCATACACACTCGATAATGTTCATACTAACTTTATTTGTGATAAGCAAACAATCCAAATGTCCATTTGCAGGAAAAAGGGACAAGCATGTTCATGATGGGACAGTGTACAACTGTGAGAAAGAACAAACCGCTGTCGTGATTTACATACACAACCTGGAGGAATCCCCCAGGAGGAATGGGAGAAGGAAGGCAGGCTCGCTGGGATAGAAGTACATATTGTCTGTTCCCGCTCTGGTTAAGGGTCAAAACCAGGCGCTGGAGAGAATACAGCGGGCAGGGAGCTTGTCTTACATGCTGTTGGCCCATATTCCATCACTGACACCCTGGTGGTTCCTTGAGCCTGTCAAGAGTGATCCCTGATTCAGGAGTAAGCCCTGAGTACTGTTTGGTATGACCCCTAAACTAATAATGGTAGTAACAATAATAAACTTTTTTTTTGCTTTTTGGGTCACACCTGGCGATGCAGAGGGGTTACTCCTGGCTCTTCACTCAGGAATCACTCCTGGCGGTGCTCGGGGGACCATATGGGATGCTGGGAATTGAATCCGGTTCGGTCACGTGCAAGGCAAACGCACTACCTGCTGTGCTATCATTCTAGCCCCAATAAACCTTTTTTTTAAAGAATCAAAACCAGGGACTGGAGTAATAGCACAGCAGGTAGGGCGTTTGCCTTGCACGTGGACGACCGGGTTTGATTCCCAGCATCCCATATGGTCCCCTGAGCACCACCAGGAATGATTCCTGAGTGCAAAGCCATGAGTAAACCCTGAGCATCGCCGGGTGTGACCCAAAAAAGAAAAAAAGTCAAAATCAGGTACATCTCAGTTACATGGATAGGAATCATGTCACTGGTTACCTCTGGGGAGTGTGAAGGGATGAGAGAGAGATAGGGGAGGGATAGAAAGGGATAGATCTTAATATGAATGGCAAGGTTCATGCACTTGTAAAAATGCATCAGCTCTATACTTAAATTGTTACATACTTTATATTGTAACTTTAAAAGACAAAAGAGGTCAGGAATGTGATTTTGTGGTAGAGCGTATGCCTTGCATGTGTCAAATTCTTTGTGTGTGGAGGGGGGAATGGTTGGACCACATCCTCCAGTGCTCAAGAGCTACTCTTAGTTATATGCTCGGGAGGCACTCTCATGTGTGTGTGTGTGTGTTTGTTTTGGGGGTCACACCCGGCAATGCTTAAGACTTACTCTTGGCTCTTCATCAGGAATCAATCCCGGTGGTCTCAGAGGACCACATGGGATGCTGAGGATTGGTCCTGCATCAGTGGCATATAAGGCAAGATCTTTACCCAATGAACTGTCACTCTAGCCCCTTTCGGGGTGTCTGAGGGACCACGTGGCATCAAGGATTAAACCAGAGTAAACAGCATTTAAGGCATACAAATTTTACCCCTGTGCTATGTCTCCAGTCCAAAAGTCTGAGTTTGATCCCTGATAACACTTAGCTCCCGAGCACTGCTTGGGAATTTCCCCCATGATCCCCAGCAATCCCCAGACTAGCTGTAAGCTTGGGCCCTAGTGGCCCCTGAGCACCAACAGTCAAAGTACTGCCAGGCTGTTCCTCCAAGCTCTGCTAGGACTGGTCCTGATTTTTTAAAAAAAGATAAAAGCAGGATGAAAGAGTTTGGCTTTTCATGTACAAATGCCTTAGTGTATTCCTGCCTTTATTTATTATTATTATTATTATTATTATTATTTTATTTTTGGGTCATACCCGGCGATGCACAGGGATTACTCCTGGCTCTGCACTCAGGAATTACTCCTGGCGTTGCTCAGGAGATGCTGGGGATCGAACCCTGGTTGGCCGCATGCAAGGCAAATGCTACCCGCTGTGCTATCGCTCCAGCCCCTGTATTCTCGTCTTTAAAGTCAGTGTTCCCAAACTTAAATTGTAGGTAGATACCTGATAGGTAGGTAGAAAGCCAAACATTCTCTGATATTTTGTTATTTCCTTTGGAGCTCTGCAGGTATTTCCTAAGAGTCAGCTAATGCACAGTGTAATCACTGTGCTCATACCACATGTGAGCTCAGTCCACTGTCAGAACTCGGTCTTGTTAGGCCAAGACTGGGTGAACATCGATTGGTTGGAAAATCATTGCGGTCACATCCCCACCCTCATATCTAATGCTTGGAGGAAAGCCATGAGAGTGTGGGAACTGGCTTCCAAGTGTAACAGTCTCACCTGTCTATACTGTACCTTGCAGGGCATTAAAGAACATACAACTTCCGTAAAACCACAATGAGATCCTTGTCTTCTTCTGTTTGGGTTGCTATCACAAAATGACCATGTCCTGGGTGGCTTTAGGCAACATTTATGCCTAGTCCAAGGTCAAGGTCATTTACGACCAGAGTGTGGCTGATCCGGGTTCAGTCCCTGGCACCCGATTGGTCCCCTGAGCCAGCCAGCATTGATCCCTGAGCAACGGGTCAGGAGTATGCCCTGAACACCATTGGGTGTGTCTCCCAAACAAAACAAAACAAAAAGAGAACAGTTTTTCTGAAGCCACTCCCTGGCTGTTAGACAGCAGGCTTCATTTTTTTTAATTAATTAATTTATTTTGCTTTTGGGGTCACACCCAGCAATGCACAAGGGTTACTCCTGGCTCTGCACTTAGGAATTACCCCTGCCAGTGCTCAGGGGACCATATGGGATGCTGGGAATCGAACCCTGGTCGACCGCGTGCAAGGCAAACACCCTACCCGCTGTGCTATCACTCCAACCCTGCAGGCTTCATTTTTTAATTTGATTTTGATTTGGGGGAGCTACACCCAGAAGTCCTCTGAGCTTATTCCTGTTTTGCTCTCAGGGATCGTGGTGGTGCTTGGGGTAGTGCTTATGTGGTAATGGGGATGTAACAGGTTGGCTGCAAGCAAACTCCTTTTATTTATTTATTGTGGGGAGCTTCTTGCGTTACACCTGGCGATGCTTAGGAATTACTCCTGGCAGTGTTTGGGGGACCACATAGGATGCTGGGGATCAAACCTGGGTTGGCCACATGTAAAGCAAATGCCCAACCTGCATTTGTTCCAGTCCTGCACGCAAACTTCTTATTCACTGTACTTTCTCTTGGGCCCAAAATAACTCTTAAGAAATGTCAAGGAGAGACTGAGAAACAATTTCATATTAAAGGAGTCCAGAGGTGGGGCCGGAGCAATAAGACATTTGCCTTGCACGTGGTTGAGATGGCTTCCGATCTCCAGCACCCTATAGGGTCCCCTGAGCCCACCAGAAGTGATCCCTGAGCTCAGAGTCAGAAATATGCCCTGATTGAACTGCTTAATGGACATGATCCCAGAGACTCAGAAACGAATCTCAGAACCCAGTGGCTTTAGGTAGAAATGCGTCTGGTCTCTGCAGTAGGCTACCGGTGCTGGGCCAACCCAGGTGGGAATAGGTTTCGTGCCTTGGCCTGTTCCCCCTGGCGGCCCAGTGGCCGCCATCCTTCTGAGGCCACTGGATAGTCACATTTGGGCCCCCAGTGACGAGACATACAGGGCCTCACGGGATGAGGGTGGAGCCGGGCTTGTCCTCCCCACCCCAATGAGACCCCAAGTCATCGCCCACAAATGACCTCTCTGGCTCCTGATCAAGCTGCTTAACGACCATGATCCCAGAGACTCAGAAACAAATCTCAAAACCCAGTGGCATTTGGCAGAAATGCATCCGGACTCCACAGTACGTTACTGTTGCCGGGCCACCCCAGGGAGGAAAGGGTGTTGCCCCTCCGCCTGCTCCCTCTTGGCGACTTGGTGGCTGTCATCCTCCAGAGGCCATTGGACAGTCAGGCTTGGGCCCGCAGTGACGA